CTGAAGCATCAGACTAACATAGGAAAGAAGCCCTGCCTGCCTGGGCTCCATCTAATAAACAGAACACACCGAGGAAAGGCCACGCTGTTCAGACCCGGCATAGCAATGCTTTCTACACACAATTCCCATAGCCAGCCCCACGACTCTTGCATGGCTGCTGAGGGGGCATTTCCGCTCAGCCTTCCATAACCTGCTCCTAGACTCAGGAGGGCTATCCTTAATAAATCCTCTCTTTCCGTGACCTTCTAGACATTTTCACATTTTCTGAAACCCACCCAACTCGTCCGCCATGCAGTTATCTGCCTGTCTCCATTGCTGAATAGCTTACTGAGAGCTTCTGTTGCTGCGACGTTGTAGGGGAAAGGGTCTATTTAACTTACACTTCCACGTGTAGTCCATCACTGGAGGAAGTCAAACAGAACAGGAATCTGGAGGCAGGAGCTGATGCGGAGTGCACGGAGGGGAGCTGCTTACTGGCTGCTTCCTTTGTCTTGCTCAGCCTGCTTCTTATAGAAGCCAGGACCATCAGTGGGCTGGAGCCTTCCCATCAATCACTAATTAAGAAAATGCCCTCCTGCCAGATCTCACGGAGGCCTTCAGATTACTGGAGCTTGTGTCTAGCTGATAGAAGACTAGCTAGCATACTGAACCTGCCTCTTTCTTGGACCATAGCTTAATAGCTATGGCTTTCTCTCTTCCTTGTGTCCATCTTTCTTCCCCTGATGGCTGCACAGATTTATGGCTTGCCTGCCCTGTTACTTTCCTCTCAAACTCTAGGAAAGTGGTCCTTGAACTCCTTTCCAGTCTGCTTTTAAATTCTTTTAGGAACAAGACTAAGCACCCACCAAGGGAACCCCCAAATTCCTGGTAAAAATAAATATTTCTTTCTTAAAAGAGACCTTTTGGGTTTTACCAGCATTTGTTTTCTAATACATGATTATAACACAAAAGGAAAAACACATCAATAGCCAGGAACAGAAATCAGTTTAAAAACGAATGCAACAAAAGCAAAGCAAGGAAATTAAAGTCTAACCAGAAACCAGTCAAATACTCCAGGGCAGTGACTTATTAAGACAGTGACTTAAGAAAAATAGTAGCAAGTAAGGATTACAAAGGCCGCTGAAGATCTCTATTCGCTCCAAACTTCAGCCTCCTGTGTGTTGTCCCCCACAAAGAGAACCGGAATCACTGTCTCACATTGTGATTCCACAGCATTCCCCGCTCTGTCAATTCGTGGTGTCAAATCACAGATCCACATGTGGTGGCCCAGCTTCTGAAAGCACACGTACAGTCCTCCCACGCGCAGCAGGGGATGCACAAGAAATGTCTCCTCGCTCAACAGGTAACATTCCTCACGACTACAAGTTAACAGCCCCGTAAGGTCTGTGTTGCCCGGGTTTATTTACCAGGAGTTTGCTGTGAGCCACCCTGAACACACCCTCTTCAGAAACAGTGGTATAAATGAGACCACAGAAGTAAGAAGGCAGATGGACTACTTCACATTTGCCATGACAAAGCTGCACAGGAGACAACTGTAAATGTTGTGTCCTCCTCGCTCCATGGATTCTCTGCCTTCAACATGGATAGAAGCAGAAAGGTGGTTTGGGACCTGGAGTTTCCGAAGTACTGTTAGGAAATTTACCAGCTCTCCAACCACTGCTGGGACTTCGCTGTTTGGGAAGAGTCCCCTTTAAGGATGGGGGTTTTGAGGCTTGGCTACAAACAAGGTGAGAGGCTGTGTGAGGCACGTCTCTCTGCTCACCCATAGCTGGAGGGGCCACAGATGGCCAGGTGTCTCTCCCGGGAGCAATGCTAGTTCCCCTAGGCTAAGGGTACCGGGAGGGAAGTACATCTGGAAATGTCTTCAATTTATTCAGGTCAGGGGTTCCTCTTATCTTTCCATTTCTTCTCCTAAGTCTGGCCTTTGCCTGGGAACTGGCCACAGGCATTTCCTTTATCTCGTGTTATTCTCTTTCTGCAGAAACTCCGCACAAAGAGCTGCCAGAACTCCCCAGGGCTCCCACCATTTCCCCATCTCCAGGGAGGTACCTCCTGAAGGAAAGGATCCAAAAGGAGAAACGCAAGCATACACATGCCAGTCTGCTGCCTCTCTTTGTGCAGGCACCGGAATGTTTTCTGCTCTGGGCTCATGATCCTCCTTGACATTTTCCTCTCTTTGCTCATCCCCCTGCCTCTGCTGCTACCTCCACCCACCCTACCTTCCTACCCACCTCCACACACAGAAAGAGAGAGAGAGAGAGAGAGAGAGAGAGAGAGAGAGAGGAGGGGTTTTTTGCAGTTTCCAGTGTTACCTCTGAGGGTAAGGAAGCATCCAAAAGGAAACCAGTAATTACATCTTCATCTACCTGGAAAGTTTGTCTCAACCTCAATATGGAAAAACTAAGAAAGCTGTTCGGGAGGCACCGGAGGGTATATTATTCCTTCCTGTCCCCGGTCCATCCTCATCTATCAGGGAGCCCATAACTCATTAGAGGCCTGACGTTAAGACCTAGCTTTCATCACTCAGAACAGCCACTAAAGACGGGGCCCATCTGCCTCCTCCTCTTTGGCTCCATTCTTCCACGCCCCAGCGTTGGGAGGATGAATTCATCTTTTCTGTTTTTACCGCTGATGAGACAGATAAAGTACTAAGGGTGTTTATACTCTAAGGACATAGGACATACATTTGTTTTAAACAATATTTAGGCCATATTTTCAAATAACATGCTGAATGTTTTTTCTTTAATCTCCTGGCCCCCTCTTAGCAATAGATCTCTAAATACGGTGGGATGAGTCTAATTGTTAACCTGACAAAAAGTACAATTAAATACAAGAGTATCTAAAAGCCTGGAAACATAAATCAAATTACATCTTATCTTTTTTCAGTTGAGCCTCTGAATCTACCGTTTTATTTGATTTGATTGATTGGTTGTTCCTTTGAGACAGGATCTCACTGTGTAGTCCTGGCTGGCCTGAATCTTGTGATGCAGAGCAGGCTGACATGAACTCACAGAGATCAGCCTGCCTCGACCTCCTAAGTGCTAGGATTAAAGGCGTGCGCCATCACAATAGGAACAGCCATTTGAAATATAGCTATTCTTCCTCTGAAATGTACTTGAAAACAAAATACAGAGATTCGTCTTTTAAAGTATGACTACCATAATTTTATAATGGGAATTTCTCTTATGTCTTCTGACTTTTCAAACACCCTGAAAATGGTCTGTTCCTTGAAATTTAAGACACATGACTGGTATGCTGAATTCATAGTGTATTGGATTGCTACAAGAGCCACTTACTTACCTACACATAAACTCTCCCTTAGGAAAGATCAACAGAAACTTACGTGAGTCTAATAATATATTCATCGCAATCCTCCAAAACTGAAGACGGTTTGGGGTTTTGCATTTTAACGATCTGGAAATGGAATCTAATGTCCAATGAGACACAGAATAGAAAAGGGTCACCGTGTCCTATTTTTCCTTTAGTCTAAAAGTCAGACTTTTATTACATAAATATTCCATCTGTACTACATAATCAGCCTAAATAAGAGGGAAAAGATCTTGCTTACAATCTTGTCACGTCCGTTTGACAGGTCAGACTCTGTCTGACTGTGCATCCTTCCCAGCCACGGTGGGGAACAGCAGGGATTGTGTTTCGTCACCAAGACCTCTCTATATGTTCCACATTGCTGGTGGAGCTATGAAGAATTCGATTATTTTATTTTAGACAGAGTGTCGCTCAGAACCTGAAGCTTGCTATTATTCAAGTTGTGGGTGCCTAAGTTGTTTTTAGGGGTCCTCCTGGCTCTATTTCCTTAGTGCTGTGATTATAGGCATGTGACCACACCTGGCCTTTCTTAGGAAGAGCTGGTAGCTAAACCCAGGACCACAGGTTTTCAAAGCAAATGTTTCTCTGAGTGAGCCATCTCCCTAGTTCAGCCTTCAGACATTTTTTAACGGGTACACTACATTGTATTTTAATTAATTGCTTATTGTACAGCAGGTATTATGCAATCCTTTGTAAAACAAACAATACACAGCAGGTCGATGCCTAGTGCAGGTCTCTTCCTCCTTGTGGATTCATTAATCAAGAAGTAGGAGGCCATGACCAGCAGCCAGGAAGGGGGGAAGTTCTTGTGTCCCCTATTAGAAGAAGGACTTGGGGGCTCCACCTACAGCCTCCGTCTTTCTCATCAGAGGATTGTGTGGCAGCTGCAGCACGCTCCCTGACTGCCGGGACAAGCTCAGATCCGTTCTCAGGAAAGCACAGGCTGGAGGGGCATGACTGTAATGATCTAGTTCAGGGTTACTACACGGTTCTCTGCTTGTACTGAGAAACACCAGCATTTTAAGAGTAGACCGTTGTCGCTAGAAACAAAACAATAAAAAGAAAAAAAAGTTGGGTGTTGTGGTCTTTAATCCCAGCACTTGGGAGACAGAAGCAGACTAATCGCTCTGAGTTCTAGGTCAGCCTGCTCTACACAGCAAGTTCCAGGTCAGCCAGGTACAGAATGAGATCCTGCTTTTTCACTTTTATTGATGAGCCACATTCACCTCTAGTTCTCATAGAATTTCTTTAGAAAGTGTTGGATACTGACCTCATAAGGCATACACAAATGTTGTGTGTGTGTGTGTGTGTGTATGTGTGTGTGTGTGCATAATATATACCCCAAGAGAGGATAGAAGAAAGTGGCCAATTTGTTGGAATTTTTATAACATACCTGGCATTATCAAGGTAAATGTCTTTGCTAGGTAAATTATCAGTGCTAGATGTGTGTAATGACTCATTTCATTTCACGATAAGAAATAGTCTATTAGCAACGACGAGAAAGAAATTGAGTGGGGGCTGTAGAATGTGGAGAAGGAACACCCAGGTTTTCTTGGGTGACACTAGATAAGGGCACGTCATACATGATAAGCAGGCGAGAGGTGGACTGGGAAGAAGTGGGAGAAGCGCCTCCTCACTCTGCCTCCCCATTCAGTTTTAATCACCAGGTCTGATTTCCATAGGGAGCGGTTTATTATTTTCATGTCCCCCTTTGTCTCTTGTGCGGTCATTTCAAACATCTCCAGTCTTTCTTTCCTCTGTCCATGGCATTACAGCACCAACTGGGTTGATACGCCAAGTCCATGCCCTGCCAAAGTCACCTTTGACTTCTCCCAGTGATTATGCTAACCTTCATCCACCTGTAAAATGGAACAATTATGGTGATTATTTCTAGAAGGCTGTTGTTATGAAGATTCAAGGAGAAAATATTTGCTTAAAATGGTAGGCTCAACTGTTACATTTGAAACTCCTTCTAGGGTGGGTGACTTCTCAGTTCCTCTGTTGTTAATGTGGGGCCTAAGACTAAACCAAAGAAGTCCTAGTGGAATGATTTGTGGCATTCTGACAAGGACTATCTAAGAGCCGGTACATAGTTTGCCGTGTTCTTTTTTTTTTTTTTGTACAACATAATGACCAGCAATGTTCCAGGCAGTAATTACTCCATCACTTTAAGTCCCAAAGAAAAAATAATGCAAAGTAGAGTTAAAGCCAAAAAGCAATGGATATGTATCGTGAGCAAGAAACAAACCTATGTTGCCTTAAGACAGAAACCCTCAGGTTTTAGGGTTGTTCATTCTCAAGTCTTACTGAAAGATAGGGATATTGTCAGAGCTTAATGTTAGATTCTCATGTGATTCGTGATTATTTTCTTTCTCCTCCTTCATCTTGCTATAATAAATCTCAACTTTTCCTTCTGGCTCAAATAACGCTTGAGAGAAGTAGATCAAAAGCTTTGTGAGGTTTCGTTCCCAGTGACATAGCACTGAGCTACTGAGACGCTATCTTCAGCAGAAACAGGATGGCAATGCTCTTGATGATTTTGCTTTTCGTCCATAACTGCTGTAAGGGCAAAATAAATAAATAAAAGCATATTTTATATGACAGATGGCAGGGTGGGGTCTTTGAGTTGATACAGCGTGTTCAGATTCCTTGGGAACTAGACGCCATTGCCCAAGAGAGTTGACCTTTGGAGTCATATATTAAGGAAGGTTCCAGGTAGTTTAAATGAGGTTCCTGGAAAGCAGGAACCCACCTTTAGGTCTCTGTTTACCTAACAACAATCCTTCTGTTTACCTAGGCAAAGTCCTTCTGGTCAGGACAGTGTCACCAGCACTGCCATTTTGGGGTGCCACTTTGGACCTAAGAAATCTCTAGGAGTTCAGGGTCATCCTGGGCTACATAGTGAGTTCCAGGACAACCAGGGCTACAAAGAGAGACCCTGTCTCAAGAGATAAAAAATATTTAAATGTCTCAAATAGTTGATGGTGTGGTTCAAAGGTAAGGAAAAGTAAACAAACGGATCAATTCCTTAGAAGACATAAATAATCAAATTCGATTCAAGAAGAAAATAATCATCCTACTAGCCTCACAGCTATTGACATTGGTCAAATGTGTTACTGAACGCAATAACTGCAGCACTCAGGAGTTCTGAAGCAGGGTTTCAACTCGAGATTAGCCTGGTCTAGACAGCAAGACCTAGTCTCAAACAAAACAAGAGAAGTAGCCAGCCTGCACAGAAAAAGAGAAAAAAAAACATAAAAATTTAAAAATTATTTATTTCGTAGAGCTCAATAAAAATCAATAAAAAAATTATTCATTTCTAGGCGTGGTGGCACACGACTTTAATCCCAGCACTTGCGAGGCAGAGGTAGGTGGATCTCTGTGAGTTCAAGCCTATCTTGGACTACTTAGGAAGTTTCAGGCCAGCCAATGTTATATAGTGAGACTCTGTCTCAAAAATTTTACTTATTATTATTGTGTAGTTATTATTATTATGAGATTGGGGGAGGTGTGTGTGTGTGTGTGTGTGTGTGTGTGTGTGTGTGTGGAAGTCAGGGAACAACACAGGAATAGGTCTCTCCTTCCACCTTACATGGGTCCTGAGGATTAAATGTATGTCTTCAGGCTTGTATGGTAAGAGCTTTCATCCAATAAGACAATTCTCTGGCTCAAAAATTAAATTATTAAAATCTATTTTTAAAAATCGAAGTCCTTATCTGGGATTTACTTTAAAGCCAGAGTTTAGTTGTGAATCTTATTAAAAATTTAAGAGAAAAAAAATCAGTTCTCCCCACACGCCTCTCGCAAACCAGAAGGGAAATATTTCCTGACTCATTCTGTGCTGGTAGCGCTGCTCTGACAACAGAACTGGTGCTGATATTACAAAAATAAAACCACTGCCTAACACACCTTATGAACAACGATGCAAATTTATCTATGAACCTTATGTTGTCGAACTCTGTCCAGGGGCACCTTTAAAAGTTGCTATATGAAGTTTATCTCAGAAACAAAGGTTGACTTGAAATTCAAACTCTGACCAATGTAATTCACGATATTTACAGACTAAAAGATGTGGTCAAGTAATCATCTCAATACAGGAAAAGTGTTTGATAAATGTCTCAGTTACGATGAGTTTCTCAACAAATCAGAAGTAGAAGGGAATTTCTTCAACTTGATAGAAAACATCTACGAAAGTCTACAATGAATATCATAATTATAAAGGACTATCTGAAAAAAAACTTGGGAGGTACTTAGCAAACTTGGGATAGGCTAAGAGTCTTCAGAACAAAAACAAGGACATCGTAATGACCAGCTTCATCAAGATGGAAAACTTCTATTCTTGGACAAATCAAGGAAATGAACAGACAGACCACAAAGTGGGAGGAAATATTTGCAAATTATGCATATGACAAGAGACCCATACTTATATTAAAAACAGCTATAATATATATCAGCCAGCTTAATTGTAAAATAAAACAATTTGATAAAACACAGAACAGATGATTTTTCGTAAAACAAGATATGGGGACGGTTGAGTACACCAATGAAAAGAGACCGTTGTGGTCTGAATCCAGTGTTCCCAGAAAGGCGCATATGTTGTACCCTTGATCGCCACCCAATGAGCTTTGGGGAAGTGACTGGATCTGGGAGCTGTGACCTAATCAGTGTATAATTCACTGATGCATTCACAATATGATGGCATTTACTGGGAAGCCACACTTAGCTGTGGGAAGTGAAGAGTTAGATCGTGACTCTGATCTCTCAGTGTCTCGCTGCTTCCTGGCGATCATGAGACAACCAGTATGCTCTGCACATGGTCACACCGTGATATTCTGTTTCCCAGAGGCTGAGAGACGGAGGACCCAGCTAACAGTGGACTGAACTCACATCATGAGCCAAACTACATTTTTCAAGTTGTCTTTTCTTTCAGTTATTTTGTCACAGTAATAAAAATTGCAAGAGATTCTCAATATCATTTGTCTTCAAGGAAGTATCAGTTAAAGCCACAGTATAGGGAGGAGGGGCGGAAATGGAGACTTTTGTATTTTAATAAACTTTGAGAAAAAAAAAAGCCACAGTATAGCCATTTAAAAGGTTGAAACTTTAAGCTGACACGACCACTGTTGGTGAGGGCATGGAGCAACCAGAGCTCTATCTTTTTCCAACATTACTGCACAGGTCTCAACTTGTTAAGTAAGCATTTATTGAATAGTTTACTCATTAATGACACATTTATCCAGTTATCTGTCATGTATATAATGCCATGCTAGAACCAGAGAGGAGCAGCAGGAGAGAAAGTCAGTGGACAGTGAAGAGGAAAGCCCGTTTCAAATATTTGTGTTTGTTTGCAGTTTCTCCTTGAGAGAAGAAAGACGCTTTGGAAATAGTAGTGATGACTGTGCAATGTTGTGAATGTTACTGGTGACACGGAATTATAAGTAAAGGTGGTGAATTTGTAAGTTTTACGTTACATCTATCTTAGCACAGTGAAATGTTCATTTGCACTCGACAGAGAGAAACAACCCTACAGCTTTGCTTTACAGATTTGCAGGGACTATGTAACATCAGAAAAGTCAGGATAACTGTTCCATCTCATCTGTGGAAAAAAATGGGAAGAAAAGTATTTATCTATAAATTCCTCTACCGGTTTAAGATGGGGCTGTTTTTGAATAGCTTGACAGGAAAAAAAAGGGCAAAATTTAGAACCATTTTGGGATTATTTTATGTACCTAAAATGCTTGATCTATCAAGCACTTGTCTAGTAAGATAAAATTGCCACCAACTGCACTACAAATTGCTTCCCACACAGAAGCTATAAAAATGCAAGATTTTGCACCTGTTAGCAAAATTATGAATTGAAATTCCTCGCATTCCAGTGCTAAGTTGCCCCAAAACTGTATGATTAGCACACCTCCTGTTTAGAACTTATGTAACATTGGCTTGTTTGTTTTGAATACCTCTATAGAAGCACTGATTTAGTTCAGAATGATTAGCTTTTAGGAAATATTCCCAAAGCAACAGCCTAAAATGTATCATTAGTCCATTTCAGACATGTTTAAGCACATGGATGAGTGCTCATTTTATGTACATAAAATATTTACATATTTCTCTTTCTCTTGACAGAAATTACTTTGGGGGAAATGTATGCTGTTGCAAATGATTACAATTATTTACAAAATACAGAAGAAGAAAAGAGACTTTTGTGGATTAAGTGGATTTGACTAGTTTTATCATGTTATATCCTACCATAAATGCAGGATAAAAGGTTACCCAATAGTTCCAGAAAAAAAAAAAGGAAAAAGAAAAAAAAAAAGAAAGAAAGTTTTATTCACACAGAGGTTATAACTTGATACCTACCATGCTCCAGACCCTGGGTTCAGTTTCAAGTTTAAACCAACAAACAAACAAAAAACAAAGAAAGGAAGAAAATGAGTCGCAGTCTGCAAAAATATCTCAGCTGGTGGAGCATTTCCTCGCATGCACAAAACCCTTGGTTTCCATCCCTGCAGTGCACAAACTGAATGCATGCCTGTAATCCTAGTACTTGGAAGATGGAGGCAGGAGGATCAGAAATTCTGAGATCATCTTCAGCCACACAGCAAGGTGTGTCTGGGCTGCATGAACCACTGTCTCATCATCATCAACAACAAAAGCCTTACTTACCTTATTTTCAAAATATCACATGGTTAAAAAAGTTTCTTACTTCCTTCCCCCATTAAATACAATTCACTTACAGTTATTAATTTGCAGAAAGCAATGGTGGGACTTACATGAAAAAGATAAACTCTGCATATTATTTTCTTTTTTGATTTTTCAAGATAGGATTTCTCTTTGTAGCCTTGGCTGTCTTGGAACTCAC